AATTTTCCATGCTCAAAACCAGATCAGCTCGCAAATGGGCAAACTTTCCACCGACCCAGCTTCATAATCAATTTTAACCCGCAAAACAGTAAACTTTCATTAAAAAAAAAAAAAGCAGAAAACTTTCCTTCTCAATTTTTGGCATAACCCTCAAACCATTAGAGTGTCACACCCTTAATCCCTCTCCTAATCACCCCCCTTTTCATTTTTCAATATCAAGGAAAGATAGATTACCCCCAAATTTAACCAAAAAAAAATTTGATTTGAATTTTTCTCCTATTAATTGATTTTTCTCTCATATAAGAGAGAAAGGTGGAACATTTGGTTTGAAAGTTTGATCAGAGAGCGGAGAGTAAGTTGCATCCAAAAACCAGGAATTCGGGTCAGAGTTTGATGCGTAGCACGAGTTGCAGTAGCTTCAATCAGCTCTCTTTCGAGATTTCGATCGGCGATCTTCGCTAGAGAATTTCACTCTCAAGCTGCACCGATCCGATGATCCTCGCCGAAGAATCTCACTCTCAAACTTAAATGTGTTCCATTAGAGAAGCTGAGGAAGAAAGAACAGATGTTGGATTAATTAGGGAATCAATTGATTATTTAAATTATCATAATCAAATAATTAATTTAATCAAGGCCACGTAATTGAGGATGGTTAGTAAGGATCCACGTGGCATCCAATGTGTTAAAATGGCTATAAAATGGTATTATAGGGATAATTTTTTTATATTATTTTTTGACATAATTTTTAAGTATGTTAAATAAGTTAATGGCATTCAATTTATATGAATAAAAAAAACAAATCAAATAAATAGTATCTCAAATTATAAAAATAAAAATAAAATAAAATAAAATAATTGTTTTAAGATCATTTCTCAATGGGTATATCAAACTTGGAGTCAGAGGATAGCTGATGTAAGATGAGGTGTCCCTTTAAATTTGGGATTATTTATTTAAGTAAAAATTTTATGGGTATATTTATTTTTAATTTTTATTTAGGGATAAATCTATTTTTATTATGGGTGAATTTAAATATTTTGTTATTATAAACCGTCATCAGTGATTTATTCTTGATTAGTATAATTTATGTTCATACATTGGTGATTTATTTACAAATTAGGTGACCTTTACTATGTATTCTTAGTTTCTTAAAGTAAACACATAATAGTTTTACAAATTCACTGTCACTATTTTTCGTTTACATAAAATTAACACATCTCATCAATCAAAAGATTCAAGTTTAACATTAATGGAATTTCTCATTTAGAATACATTTCTTACGTGTAGGTCCATTTCATACTACTTTACCTTGTTTGGGGATTGATTTTCTAACTAGCTGTGCGCTGCACAGCCTGCACCAATGCTATATATATACAAGTGGGTCCAGTATAATTGCTTTCTAAGTAGCTTTTGCTGGACTCAATCGATCATTTTTCCACGCTTGGTGATGACCTTGTTTTGGGATTGATTTTCTAACTTGATCTGCAGTGCACCAATGATATATGTACAAGTGGGTCCACTATAATTTCTTTCTAAGTAGGTTCAATGGACTCAATTATAGAAAGGAAGTTTGCAGAGTGTTTCCAGTTTTCGTTTACATTAAATTGTCAAATCTCGTCAATTAAGGCAAGAATCCAGCTTTAACTTTAATGGGATTTCACATCTGGAACGCGTTTCTTACCTACATGTACGTAGGTTGTCCAGGTTGTTATGTATGAGTTTCTACACGGCCGAATGTAGCTCATAATAGTTATCACCAACAAAAATCAGATTTAGAAGTTGAGTTTGTCATTGATAGAACAGAAATCATCCAAATGCCAAAACAGAAGATGAAAAAAGAGTTAACTGCTAAATCATAAAATTTAAGCTTAGCATTGAATAGAATATCAATGGCATCTCAGGTAGGGATTCTTGAATGCAAAATCATCAGGTTCTTTAAGCTCACAACCGATTTTAACTCAAAAAGCAACCTGTTTCTATCAGATATGATGGCCCTATGATTGCAATTCAAAAAAATCTGAAAGTCGGTATCTGAAATGGTTATGGGGTAAACTAAGACTTAATTATTGAGATTTGATTTCTACCTAATATTACCTTTACAGAAATCACAGATAGATACAAGTCTCAGATCCAACATTTTTATTTTGAAAACCAGAATGTAACTCATCTTCAAACAAGATGAAAATGGAGAAATTGCACGACCAAACAACATTTACAGTTTTCCTTTCAGGAGTTCGAATCAACATAATTTATTAAGGGTTTCTTATTGTCTAGAGAACTAGAAACATGACTCCTTTAATGGCAATTCCAAGAAAGTGTTTTTTGGGGAGGTTTGAATGGTTTTATAAAAACAGTATAGAGCTATTGACATTTTATTACTCATGCATTTTTGTTTCTGTTGAGCCAAGACAGCAATATGTTGCACAAGAAAACTTCAACAGTACAAACCGAGTGACGAAATAGAACAAGAGTGCAGAAAACAGCCCCAAAAGCGTAAAATTAGACGACACTAAGAAAGCTTCACACCTCTCGACTACACAGCAACACACTTTCTACTTATTCATACCCAAGTATGCTTTAAGATTTTGATATGTAGCTCAGAGCTATACTAGTTGTTACCTTCCGCTACGTTGAAGATTGTTCTCGATAAGATGTAGCTTATTGAGAACTGTACTCATGAGCATAGATCTTGAGGCGACTCCATGGAACATGCCACACCAATCCTAATCATTGAGATCAGGCAATCCATTATGTGTTAAATCGTGATCTCTGCCTATTAACAATGGTTGCTTCAGCCTCTTGTACTAGTTTTGGGTCCACAATCTCGACAATCTGATCAGGTAAGGTCATTCTAGCATAATGATGAAGATTAAATCCTCCTTGAAAGAGATTGTCAGTGGGCTTCTTTCCTGTCATCATCTCCAGCACCAGGATCCAATAACTGTATATATCGCCACTTATCGATACCTCACTTCCCATGCCATACTCTGCCATTCACAAAAGATTAAGTTCCACAAAAAAAATTAATAATCATAAATGAATGTTATGTGGACTCATGAGACGTAAGAAAGAACAAAATTTTAAAAGCATTATAATCTTTTCGTCCCCTGGCGCGGCGTACCCAATTGTTCCCGACTCCAACTGAACTACTTTGGTTTGACATTTTGAATTTGATGAAATAAACTTTGCAAGCCCAAAATCCCCAACATGAGCAATCATGTCGTTGTCTAGCAGAACATTGCTTGGCTTTAGATCACAATGAAAAATTGGCTTCCCAAAATGGTAATGGAGATAGTCAAGAGCAGAGGCGACATCAATAGCAATGCTTATCCTCTGTAATAGGCTTAGACTCTGGACTCTGCTTTGGGCATTGTTTGTTTCTTGAGCAGATGCATGCAACCAATTATCCAGGCTTCCATTAGGCATCAACTCATAAACTAGAGCCTTGAAATCATTGCCTTGGGAATCGATGCTTGAGCAAGATGTTATGATCTTGACAATGTTCCGATAACGAATGTTCGTTAAGGCTTCACATTCTGCCATGAAACTCTTGGAAGCTCCTCGATACAGAAGATCAAGTACTTTGAGTTTCAATCTTCTTTTTTTTTTCTCGCCTGAGTACTTGTTGCCGCAGAGCTTGCAGTGGACATTTATCTATCAAATTTGGTGGCAAACTGCCAACAAGGGTCTGTTGGTTTTCTACTCAGTTGATTTGGCTGTCTTATTAGTTGCTGTCTTGAATTGGTTGGGAGACACAAAGGGGCTGTTCCAAAAGAGATGTTACAAACATGGTACATGCCAACTCTTTGACAAAAGGCGCTTTCAATATCAGTGAATTGGAAGGGAGATCTAGAGAGGAATCTAATCCCCTAGCATTAGTCACGGGGTGGATTGCTTTTCATATCCCTATTTTTTACCAAAAGATTCGGAATGACTGGTCAAAGCATCTTAGCATACGGCGTCTCCGAGCTTAGCGTTTGAGCTTGGCAAGAGGGTTACCCTTTCTTCAAGAGAGTCTGCCTTAACTGCCTTAGGTGAAGGAGGGAGAGCTGATTTAGAATCAGCATGAGTTCCATCTTCTTCGAGAACTCCTTTGTAGACAGAACCAAAGCTCCCCTTACCAAGTCAATTCGTTGAAGAAAACCCATCTGTCGCGTTAAGGAGGGTTTGGTCAGAAAGTTGCTTCAAAGGCTCTTTCAAGGAGAATCTAGAAAATTGATTTTAGTTTTCTCTTTTAGTCCAACAGAGAAGAGAGATGGATACAATGATTACTCCCAGAAGTGAGATTACTATAATTATTATCTGCACATGCGACAGTTCACCTTTCTTTGTTGCTTTGATGCGGCATTTAGGCAACCCAAGTTCAGCCATTCCCCCGCAAAGGTTCTTATTTCCTTCAACAGATATTGCACTTGCATTTCTAAAGATGCCTTTTGTTGGCATCTCTCCTTCAAAGTTATTGAAAGACAAATTCAAATACTCCAATGTGAGATTTTCCATGTATTGAGGGATCTTACCTGTTAAGTTGTTGACAGAAAGATCAAGAAACAGAATTCCTCTTAGAGAGCTTAAAGATTCAGGAATGCTACCTTGAAAGTGGTTTCTATCAAGGAAGAGGAACTCTAGGCTGATGCAGCCACTTAGGCTATTTGGAATTTCTCTTGATAACATGTTGTCAGATACATCAAGTGCATCTAAGTTTCTCAATTGACCAATTTCTATAGGTAGAGATCCAACCAGATGATTATGAGAAAGACATAGTGCAAAACTGAAAGCAGAAATGCTGAAAAGTTCTTTGGGTGTGGAGCCGCTAAGATCGTTTTGAGAAAGAACCAACATCTTAAAACTTTGGCAGTTCCCAAGGCTTGAAGGTATGCTTCCATTTAACTTGTTTTGTTCCAAACCAAGAATTCTCAGTAGTTTTAAGTTTCCAAAAGAATCTGGAATTTCTCCTGAAAGTTTATTTATGCCAAGAGCTATAGTATCAAGTTGTTCAGGTTGACCTATCTCTCTTGGAATTTTGCCTGTAAACTGATTATCATGCAATGCCAATATACTTAAACCAACAAGATTGCCTAACCCTGGAGTGATGTCTCCAAATAGGTTATTCCGTTGAAAGTGAAGCTCTATTAGTTGAATTGATAGATTGGCTATAGATTTTGGCAATCTTCCTTGAAATTGATTTATAGCAAGCACTAAATATTGCAATTTGCTACAGTTGACCAAAGAAGTTAAAAAATTCATTTCATTAGTGTCCCCGCTTCTTAGATGATTATCAGCAAAAGATAGCCATTGCAAATGTTGTAGGAGCCCAGGAGGAACTTTTAGCTTTCTAGAGAAATTTTTTGATGGCATTTCTAATCTTTCAAGTTTTGAAGAATTGGATAATATTATTGGAATCTGCCCACTAAAAGTGTTTCTCCCCAAATTAATCTGTTCTAGATTAGGAAGGGTGAGTCCCATTTCCCATGGAAGATTTCCTTCAAGTTGATTGTTAGATATGAAGAAAATAGAAATCATGGAAAGGTTATAGATTGATGGGGGTATCTTACCAAAGAGATTATTTCCTCCGAGTCCAAGAAACCACAGGCTTCTTAATTGGCCCAAGGCATCTGGAATGTTGCCTCCAAAGTCATTACCACCTGTGGATAAGACCGCCAAAGAGGTAAGATTCCCAATGAAAGGTGGGATTCCTCCAGTAAAATGACTGAAGCGAATGGAAAGATTTTTGAACTTGGACATGGAAGCAAGCTCCATTGGAAGTTTTCCCACTAACTTCTTGTTATCAATTTTGAGGGCATTGAGGTTGGAGCAATGGGACAGGTTTGGTGGGAGCTTTCCCTCAAAAGAATTTTCATTGAGATTGAGGACTTGTAACCTGAATAGGCGACCAATTTCGGATGGGATATCACCATGAAAGGTGTTGTTTAAAAGTCTAATCTCCCGAAGGAAACTCAAGTTTCCAATGAAAGGAGACAAAGAGCCCACCAAGTCCCTAGATGATAGATCCAAGATGGTGACCCTATCCCTTCTACGACTGCAAGTGATGCCTTTCCATCTGCAGAAATGGATAGAATCATTCCAGGACTTCAAAATCCCTTGAGGATCATTTGAAACCTTGGACTTGAAAGCTATCAAGGCCATATGATCGGTTGTATTTCTAGGAAAAGAAGTGGCATTTATGAGAGTTTGGAAAGTGAAAATATGGAGTAGCAAGAGCAGAATGGCTTTGGAAGAAGTTGTGTGGTAGGACATTGTATGACTGAATGGAGCAAAGACGCAAATCTTCGGGAGTTTTGGAATTTAGCACAAGTAGCGAAAATTTTCTGACTGGGAATGAAATCAACTTGTGTTTTAGCAAAGACAACTCTGGCATGGATAAGGGGAAGTAGTCATATTTATATAACCAATGGAGGACAATAATTCTGTTTAGCTTGACCAAACTCACCATTTATTCGAGAAATGAATAATATTCACAAAATATAGTAAAAATTATCATGTCAAATCCATGCTTGTTTGCAAATTCAGGGAACCAACCTCAGAATTCTTATCGTTGCCTGTACTCCCTGTAGTAACTTTAATTCATAATCTTTATATTAGAAAGGCACTAGTTCTTTGTGTTTGATCTTGACTTGCTCCTATCCCACTAAGAGGATTAATAACCACCTAGTTTTGTCAAATTCAATTAAAGTCATTATCTCTAATCTTGCATAATAAAGACCATGATTGATAATGCAAATTTTGGTAATTAAGAAAGATGCAATACAAAATAATAATTCATGCTCTAAGCCCTTTTTTTGGTAATTCTTCACAGCATATGACATATAATCAACCTAAACAGATTCTCCTAGAAATGAGCGTTAAAATTGGTGAAACAATACAGCACAATATGCCATCAGATGGTAAAAGCTCTAGAGAACTTTGTTTTTCTAAATGCCAAAACAAAAAGCCAACAATGCCTAACAATCTAACTTGCGCCAGTAACCATACCATCCTTAGTAACTATAATACCTACATCATCACTGTATAAAAATGGCACATGCTAGGTGCTTATGCAAACTTTGTTTGGAACACTTTTTGGCGTCTTTGTTTCTAGTTTTTATAATTTTTATTATTTTTAAAAAATATAAAATATTAATTAGAGTTAATATTAAATATTTTAAATGTATTATATATATTTTATATATTAAAAAATAAAAAAACTTATAACTGCACTTATAATTCAAAGCTATCAAACTAAATTTTAATTTAATTGGAAAGAGAAAATTACTAACCACATCCATTCTATTATTTTACTTGAAAGGCCCGGTACAATTTTTTTTTCTATCAAATAATAGTTATACAACAATAAATAATATTCTTCTTTTCAAATCTTTTTCTATTTATTTCAAAATTTAAATTTAAAATCAATCAAGTACTTAATCACATTCATCAGGAATAGAGTATAATTGGTTACCCATAAAAAAACCAAGGTTCCAATTCAAATTACCTAAAAAATGATTGGGTGCTATATGTTTCAGCTATGCAAGAAATTGAAAGCTTTGGAATTAGTACTTCGGAAGCTAAATAAAGAGCACTACAATGATTTGCAGAACATATTACAGCAAGAAAAAAGCAAGCTGCATATCGTACAAGCAGATCTGTTGGCATGTCCTCATGGTGCCTTAGTCTGTATTGAGCAGGAGCAAGCTCATAAGGTGGATACTTTGCAACTGGCAGAGGAGTCCTATTTTAAGTAGAAATCAAGGGCTCAATGGCTAAAAGAGGGTGACGGCAATACAACCTATTTCCATAAGGTTGTAAAGGCTAAAACTTGTAAAGACACAATAAGGGAGCTATACACACTTGACAACAAGAAACTCACCTCCCCATCTAATATGCAAGAAAAGGTTGTTGGTTTTTACAAGGGGTTGCCAGGGATAGCTTACAGGAATTGTGGTTAGATTGAAATGGATTGTTTAAAAAGCTTGCTTCAATACTCGTTTCCTGACGATATGAAAAGTTCCCTCACACAACCTATTATGGTTAAAGAAATTAAGGTGTGGTTTTCAATAGCCCAACAAACAAAGAGCCTGGACCATATGGCTTTACATCAAAACTCTATAAGCTTGCATGGCTTGTGGTTGGTGATTTAGTGATTAAGGCAGTTTAGGAAATTTTCACATCAGGTAAGCTGCTGAAGGAAGTAAATTCTACTCTTATCTCCTTAATTCCCAAAGTAACCAATCCTACCAAGATGATAGAGTTCAGGCCTATCTCTTGCTGCAACCTGACTTATAAATTTATTACTAAAATTCTTGCTAATGGATTGAAAAATTGCCTACCACATTTTATTAGTAAAACCATTGTGCTTTTATTGAAGGAACATTAATGGTTAAGAATGTCCTTTTAGCGCATGAGCTAGTGAAAAATTACCACAGGAATGGTTTTAGCCCGAGATGTGCGCCTAAAATTGATCTTATGAAGGCATTTGATTTAGTCTGCTGGGATTTTGTTTTTCAGGTCTTCTTTGCACTTGATTTTCCTATAAAGTTTGTTGATTGGATAAGAGCCTGCATTATAACACCAATGTTCTCTGTAGTGTTGAATGGACACTTAGCTGGATATTTTCTAGGGAAAAATGGGGTGAGGCAAGGTGACCCTTTATCACCCTATATATTTGTGATTTGTATGGAGATATTCTCTCATTTGCTAAACAAAGTTGCCATAGAAGGAATGATTGCGTGCCATCCCAAATGTGCCAAAGCACAGCTTACACACCTATGCTTTATTGATGATCTAATCATTTTTACAGATGGTGCATCATCCTCTTTAAGTGCTATTAACGATGCACTCACTTAGTTCTATCAGCTATCTGGTTTGAAGGTTAATTATTCCAAATCTGAGATTTTTTGCTGTGGTGTATTTAGTGAGGAATTTAGGAAATTAACAACAACTTATGGGTTCAAGGCTGGTGTCCTCCCAGTAAGGTACCTTGGAGTGCCATTAATCATAAGAAAATTAACAGAGAAGGACTTAAAGCCTCTAGTTTCAAGGATAATAGAAAGAATGAGCTATTGGGCCTCTAAGCATTTGTCTTTTGTTGGTAGACTGCAACTTATCTCTTTTGTCATCTAGGGAATAATGACTTTTTGGTGTTCTACCTTCACATTGCTGAAGAAGGTTATAAAGGAGGTCGAGAGGTTATGCATTGCATTTTTATGGCAAGGCTCAATTGAGTTTGCAAGAGGGGCTAAAGTGAATTTGCTGTTGTTATGTCACCCTAAGCAAGAGGGTGGTTTGGGATTGAGGAAGTTTGATGCATTGGAATGTAGCATATATTATGAGATTTATTTGGATGCTCTTTAGAAAAGTTGGATCTATTTGGGTGGCCTGGGTCCATGAATATCTGTTGAAGGGCCATAGTTTCTGGTCTATAAGAGTTCCTTTTGATACGTCATGGGGTTGGAGGAAACTCCTCAATCTTAGACAGTAAGATAGAAAACTTATTAAACACATTTTAGGTGATGGAAAGGAAATATATTTGTGGCATGATAACTGGCACCCTTTAAGGCCTCTCGTTGAAAATTTTGGTGCATGAATTGTCCAAGATTCTGGGTTTTTTTCCCAAGCCAAGTTGGAGGTAGTGGTTAATGGTAATTTTTGGAAATGGCCATAAGGTCGCTCACCTCAATTGCTGGACGTTCAAATTGCTTTATGTGACAGACTATATCCTAAGGAAGGGGACAAGGATACTGTTATATGGATCCCTTCAGCTTCAAGGACATACACAACAGGGAGAACATGGCATTGGATCAGGAGCAAGCAGTCCAAGGTTCCTTGGCACAGGCTGGTTTGGTTTTCTTGGCAAATACCAAAACATAGCTTTATTAGTTGGCTAGCCATGTTTGACAGGTTAACAACCAAAGCAAGGCAGAAGAAATGGTCCCCTAACATGGATGACACTTGTGTCCTATGCAACAATGGATTAGAAATTGTTGAGCACCTCTTTTTTAAGTGTAGCTATGCAAAATGTGTGTGGAAGAGTTTGAGTGCTATGTCTAAAATTCTTTATGTAGATTCTTGGCAACAGCTTGTGTTATGGATGGGGAAACGAATAAGAAGAAAGTCTTTGTATTAGACACTCATCAAGTTAATGTGGAATGCTGCAGTCTATCATGTTTGGATGGAAAGGAACAAGAGAATCCACCAACATGTCTACAAGACAGCAGATGTAGTGAGTGACGAAATTTGTTTTGATGTGAGACACAAAATTTTGGACAATTCTAGGCCTTTTCCCTCCATTTTAAATGCATCAGTTGCTTTAAAATGGGGTTTTTGAGATTGTTGTATAGAGGTGGTTTTTTTTTTTTTTTTTCATTGTAGCAGCAACTTGTGCAGATAGTTTCATGGATAAATACAATTTTCACATTTTATCCAATAAAAAATCATGATCCCTCATCATAAGTTGGGTAAATCCCCCCGCGCAGAATCCCTTCCTACAAAGATACAGAGTTAGACATTCCTTCTATTTCTCCACAGTCATTCATTTACGTTTCGATTTGTGTTTTCATAGAAAGAAAGAGAGAGAGAGAAAAAGAAAACACTTATTCCCATTAAATTCTGAATTCTCAGATTTTTTGCTTACCTTCAAACCTCTCCAAACTCGCCACCACCAATTGCGTACCAGTTTTATCGCGTGAGTTGAGCAGGAAGAGCATGAATGCGAGCGAAATTTTGAGGGACTTCGGAGGTTTGATTCTGTGAATTTCTTTAGGTTAGGGTTTTACAATTTTTATTTATTGGATTCGAACAAGACGGAGAAGTACGAGTTGGTGAAGGACATAGGATCGGGGAATTTTGGGGTGGCGAGGCTGATGCGAAACAAAGAAACCGAAGATCTCGTCGCCATGAAGTACATTGAGCGCGGCCACAAAGTCCGTACGTGTTTTTCTTCTTTTGTGTTTATCATTAAATTTTAAGTTTTTTTATCCATAATTCTTTTAAAAGATTGGGAAATTTTGTTATACATCATGCATGTACAATTAGTTGTAAACATTTATTTATTTCAATTTTTTATATGATATTGGTGACAGGTTGATGAGAATGTGGCAAGAGAGATCATAAACCATAGATCGCTGTGTCATCCGAATATAATTCGGTTCAAGGAGGTTGATTTTGTTTGAAATAAATTAGTTGTGTTTGCACATTTGCAGGCCATTGTGATGGAGTATGCTGCTGGAGGCGAGCTATTTCAGCGAATTTGTAATGCTGGGAGATTCAGTGAAGATGAGGTTTGAATTTGATAAGATTTCAAGAACTTTGCTTTCTGTTCTAATTATCTGTTTAATTTCGGGTGAATGCATTGCCATTGTTTTACCGTGTGGAGAAAGGATAATATTATCTTATTTCATATATTTTTTTTAACAAGTAGAGCAGGTAGCTGGCAATTGTTTATTTTTGTTGTGCATTCTCTTTTCGCTTTTGTTAGTTGAGGTAGAAAATTGAGTAGCAAGAAGTGGGAAGACTGTTAATTCAAAACCGGAAATATCTACCAATAATGGTTTGTTTATTTTCATTCTACTAATATTCTTTCTTTGTTTATTATTATATTTTAAATGTTGCAGGCAAGATATTTTTTCCAGCAGCTTATTTCAGGCGTTAGCTACTGTCACACTATGGTAAATAAAGTTTAATTTAATTCTTGTATATTTTTAGAGATTATGATATCTTTTGTTGTATAGATAATATTTCCCTCTTTTTTTGATCTTTTAGCAAATATGCCATAGAGATTTGAAGTTAGAGAATACCCTCTTGGATGGAAGCCCAGCCCCACGTCTGAAAATATGTGATTTTGGATATTCAAAGGTTTGGCTAAATATAGAAATTATAATAGCAAGCATATTGACTTTTACAAGCGTGCCTTGGTGATTTTGTATTTCTTCTAAGAACTCATTCTTTTTCTACAGTCATCTCTACTGCATTCAAGACCCAAGTCAAGAGTTGGAACTCCAGCCTACATTGCACCTGAGTTTCTTTCTAGGAGAGAATATGATGGCAAGGTAATTGTCTTAGGGTCAAGTGTCATGCTTCTCTCTAATGCTTAGTCATTTTCTTCTAATTTCATGACAGCGTTGACTTGTTATCTGTTAAAGAAGTTGAGGAAGATGGTATGTTATCTAAAAAGCAAAAAAAACATGTGGTATGAGACTGTCAGTGTTCGATGTTGTGTCATTATTGATTTTACTTTGTAGGGAAAAATGAAATTATTGATTTTTCTTTGGTGGGAAAAAGGAAATCATTGATTGTTGAAGTTTAGACTTTACCAGTATGGTGAGATTTATTTCGTTTATTTTTGGTTCAGTTGGCAGATGTATGGTCACGTGGAGTGACTCTTTTTGTAATGTTGGTGGGAGCATATCCATTTGAAGACCAAGAGGACCCAAAGAATTTCAGGAAAACTATTAATGTAAGTTACCTTTTCTTTTCCTAACTATTTTATGGTTCTTCAATCTTTTCACATCTATGATGTTAGAGTTGTGGTGTTCAAGCTGCAAAAGTAGCAGCAAATGAAAATGAAAGGCTGCACAAAATGGCAGCAAAATGAAGGGAGAGCTGCACCAATAGCACGATAGCAGCAAAGTGCAGCAAGCTAAAGCTGCAAATGTTGTGGAAATGAGGCTGAAATGAACAGCAAATGAAATGCAAATGCAAATGCAAATGAAAGGCTGCAAATAGCAGCACAGTACAACAACATGGAGCTGCACGAAATGGCAGTAAATCTTTGAATGTAATCTTTTGTTTTAAATGCTTAATGTTTTCTTGTATTGGGTAAAATGTTAGGTGAGAAAGAAATGTTTTTTTATTGTATTGTTTCTGCTATAAATGCAGTAAAATATCAATGATATCTCTTGAGTTGGAGTGATATACTCCTCTCCATTTTATGTGCTCTGCTCTTCATCTTCTTCCTCTCGGTTCTCTCCTTTTTTTTCTTTCTTTGTTTTAAAAAAACCCAACATATGATATACTGTGTTTGTTCTTCTGCAGAGAATATTGGCTGTTCAGTACAAAATCCCAGACTATGTTCACATATCTCAAGATTGCAGACATCTCCTTTCACGCATATTTGTAGCCAATCCTGCGAGGGTATGTATGAGAGTTCCTGGATTTCAAGAATCTAAACCAACTTCTTTGAAAATGCAAATAATATTGAAGTAAATATGAACTAATACATATCTTCTAGCCCAATTGGTGATATATTGACATTGTTAGGATCTTAGCAAACATGGTTTTACCGTTTTCTTGTGCATAAGGCATATGCAGGCTTATTTTTTGATGTGCATCATATTTGGAGTAACCATTGGCCTGCTTGCTCTTCTCTTGTTTTATTTTTTGGAGTTCTTTACGCCTTCTCTATCTGAAACAAAGAGTTTTATCCTGGTCTTTTACCGTAATTAACATTAACAAGCAAAGTATGAATTATATCCTTGGGTACTGTTGCACATGATTTGGTGACAGAAAGAAAGGTCTCTTTATATCCCATAGAACAACAGGTGACTTGTGTTTAAGAACAAATCAAGGAACTAAGGTCATATAAGTAGTAACAGTGAGTTAAAATCTGGAAATTTCTGATTGATGGTGCCGTTTGAAAACTTTTCTGTCACTACTTCTGTCAAGCGTATGTGGAAGTCTGCTATCTGATGGAATGAATGGTAGATACGAGATCGTTTCTTCAGGTTGTGATTCAGCTAGTTTTTTGTAACTTCCTGCAAAGTCATCTTCTGTCATGTTTTATTGTTTTTAGTTTTCACAGAGTATCCTGGTGTTGTTCTTGTCATTTTAGTGGGCAATCACATTTTTTAGTCATGCTTTTTCAGAGAATCACCATCAAAGAAATCAAGAACCATCCATGCTTTTTGAAGAACTTGCCAAGAGAACTGACTGAGGCAGCTCAAGCTATTTATTATGGGAAAAACAACCCAACTTTTTCTGTCCAAAGCAATGAAGACATCTTGAAAATAGTTGAAGAGGCCAAAGTTGTTGCTCCAGTATCTCACTCTATCAGAGGCTTTGGCTCGGGAGGAGAAGAAGATGGAGATGCCAAGGAAGAAGAGGTAGAGGAGGAAGAAGATGAGTTTGAGAAGAGAGTTAAGGAGGATCATGCTAGTGGAGAAATTAATCTCACTTGATTAATACATTATTGATTCTTTCCAAATAATTAAGATATGGAGTTTGTTTCAGTGCTTGTATAAAGTCAGTTTCTATCCAGGCCGTTGTGAGTATTTGTAAATTTGTAGTATATTGGCATAGGGAAATTTTAGCGCAGTGCTAATTGTCTTGGAACTATTATGATTCCAAACAACCTATGAAGGTCAAGTTGATGGTTTTCTTTTCGTGAGTTAGGAGTAGATAATGTATTAAGGGTTTCTTATTGTTTAGAGAACTAGAAAGATGACTCCTTTAATGGCAATTCCAATACTGTTTTTTTGGGGAGGTTTGAATGGTTTTATAAAAACAGAGCTATTGACATTTTAGTACTCATGCATTTTTGTCTCTATTGAGTCAAGATAGCAATATATTGCACAAGAAAACCTCAACAGTACAAATCAAGGAAATGGAACAAGAGTGCAGAAAACAGCCCCAAAAGTGTAAAATTAGAAGTGCAGAAAATAGCCCCAAAAGCTTAACATTAGACGCACTAAGAAAGCTTCACACCTCATGACTACACAGCAACACACTTTCTACTTATTCATACCTGAGTATGCATTAGGATTTAGATCTGTAGCTTGAAGCTATACTAGTTGTTAGCCCGGTGACGTTGAAGATTGTTCTTGATAAGATGCAGCTCCTTGAGAACTGTACCCGTGGGCATACGGTCTTGAGGCGACTCCATGGAACATGCCACACCGATCCTAATCATTGAGACGAGGCAATCCATTATGATGTTAAATCGTGATCTCTGTCGATTAACAATGGTTGCTTCAGCCTCTTGTACGAGCTGTGGGTCCACAATCTCCACAATCTGATCAGGTGAGGTCATTCTAGCATAATGATGAAGATTAAATCCTCCTTCAAAGAGATTGTCAGTGGGCTTCTTTCCGGTCATCATCTCCAGCACTAGGATCCCATAACTATATATATCGCCATTTATTGATACCTCACTTCCCATGCCATACTCTGCCATTCACAAAAGATTAGATTCCACAAAAAAAAAAATTTAATAATTATAAACAAATGCTATGTGGATGCATGCAACATATAAGAAAGAACAATATTTTAAAAGCATTATAATCTTTTCATCACCTGGAGCGACGTACCCAATTGTTCCTCTCACTCCAACTGAGCTACTTTGGTTTGACGTTTTGGATTCTGATGAAATAAACTTTGCAAGCCCAAAATCTCCAACATGGGCAATCATGTCATTGTCTAGAAGAACATTACTCGGCTTTAGATCACAATGAGCAATTGGCTTCCCACAATAGTAATGGAGATAGTCAAGAGCAGAGGTGACATCAATAGCAATGCTTATCCTCTGTAATAGATTTAGACTCTGGACTCTGCTTTGGCCATTGTTTGTTTCCTGAGGAGATGGATGCAACCAGTTGTCTAGGCTTCCATTGGGCATTAACTCATAAACAAGAGCCTTGAAATCATTTCCTTGAAAATCGATGCTTGAGCAAGAAGTTATGATCTTTACAAGGTTTCGATGACGAATGTTCTTCAAGGCTTCACACTCTGCCATGAAACTCTTGCAAGCTCCTCGATACAAAAGATCAAGTACTTTGACTGCAACATTAGCTCCATCTTCTTCGAGAACTCCCTTGTAGACAGAACCAAAGCCCCCCTTACCAAGTAAATTTGTTGAAGAAAACCCATCCGTGGCTTTAAAGAGGGTTTGGTAAGAAAGTTGCCTTAAAGGATCTTTCAAGGAAAATCTAGGAGATTGATCTTTGTTTTTTCTTTTAGTCCAATAGAGCAACATGATAGATACAATAATTACTCCCACAAGTGAGACAACTATAATTATTATATGCAAATGCGATAGTTCACTTTTCTTTGTTACTTTGATGCTGCATTTAGGCAAACTAAGTTCGGACATTCCCCCACAAAGGTTCTTATTGCCTTCAACAAAAACTACACTTGCATTTCTGAAGATGCCTTTTGTTGGAATGTCTCCTTCTAGGTTATTGAAAGATAAATTCAGATACTCCAATGCGAGATTTGTCATGTATTGAGGGATCTTACCTGTTAAGTTGTTGACAGAAAGGTCAAGAAACCGGATTCCTCTTAGAGAGCTTAAAGATTCAGGAATGCTACCTCGAAAGTGGTTTCCGTCAAGGTAAAGGAGCTCTAGACTAGTGCAGCCAATCAAGCTATTTGGAATTTCTCCTAACAACATGTTGTGAGATACACCTAGTGCATTTAAGTTTCTCAATTGACCAACTTCTAAAGGTAGAGATCCAACCAGATGATTATGAGAAAGATCTAGGTCAATACTCAAAGAAGAAATGCCGAAAATTTCTTTGGGTATGGAGCCGCTAAGATCGTTTTGAAAAAGTTCTAATTGCTCCAAATTTTGGCAGTTCCCAAGGCTTGAAGGTATGCTTCCATTTAAGTTGTTCATTTCTAGACCAAGCCTATTCAATAGTGTTAAGTTTCCAAAAGAATCTGGAATTTCTCCTGAAAACTTATTTCTGCCAAGAACTAAAACCTGAAGTTGTTTAAGCTGACCTATATCCTTTGGAACTTTCCCAGTAAACTGATTATCATGCAATATCAATGCATTTAAATTGACAAGATTCCCTAACCCTGGAGGGATGTCTCCGAATAGGTTATTCCATCCAGAGCGAAGGCATTTTAGTTGACTTGAGAGATTGGCTATGGATTTTGGCAATCTTCCTTGAAGTTGATTCCTATGAAGCTCTAAACTTCGCAATTTGCTACAGTTGACCAAAGAAGTTAAAAAACTCATTTCATCAGCGTCTTCGCTTCCTAGATGATTATCAGTCAAAACTAGCCATTGTAGATTTTGTAGGTGCCCAAAAGAAATTGTTACTTTTCCAGAGAATTTATTTATGGGCATTTGTACAAGTTCAAGTTTTGAAGCATTGGACAATGTTACTGGAATTTGCCCACTAAAATTGTTTTCCGCTACAGAGAACATTCTTAGAGAAGGAAGGGTGAGTCCTATATCCCACGGAAGATTTCCTTCAAGTTCATTTTTGTCTATGCCGAAAACAGAAAGCATGGAAAGGTTATAGATTGATGAGGGGATCTTACCAAAAAGATTATTTGCTTGGAGTACAAGAAACCTCAAGCTTCTTAATTGGCCTAGTGCATCAGGAATGATGCCTCCAAGGCTGTTATTACTTGCATAGAAGTGTACCAAATTGGTAAGATTCCCAATGAAGGGTGGGATTCCTCCAGTAAAATGATTTTCGAAGATGGAAAGATTTGTGAGCTTGGACATGGAAGCAATCTCCATTAGAATCTTCCCTTCTAACTTGTTTTTATGAACTTTGAGGACATTGAGGTTGGAGCAATGAGACAGGTTAGATGGGAGCTTTCCTCCAAAAGAATTAAGAGAGAGATCGATTGTCTTTAACCTGAGTAGACGACCAATTTCGAGTGGGATATCACCATAGAATCTATTGTTTGAGAGTCCAATCTCTTGAAGGAAGCTCAAGTTCCCTATGAAAGGAGACAAAGAACCCACCAAGTCCCTGGATGATAGATCCAAGACAGTGACTCTGTCCCTTCTACGACTACAAGCGATGCCTTCCCACCGGCAGAAGTGGACAGAATCATTCCAAGATTTCAAAATCCCTTGAGGGGCATTTGAAATCTTGGACTTGAAGGCTATCAAGGCCATATGATCAGTCGTATTTCCTGGAAAAGTAGAAATGGCATTTGTGAGAGTTTGAAAACAAAAAATGTGGAGTAGCAAGTGCATAATGGATTTGAAAGAAGTTGTGAAGTAGGACATTGTATGACTGAATCAGAATGGAGCAAAGACACAAAACTTTAGGGAGTTTTGGAATTTAGCACAAGCAGCAAAAAATTTCTATGACTGAGAATGATATGAACTCGTGTTTTAGCAAACACAACTCTGCTGTGGATGAGAAGAAGTAATCATCTTCTATTTATATAACAAATGGAGCACAATAATACAAATTTGTTTACCATATACCAATATCAGAAATTCTTATGTTTGCTTGTGATAAGCTGAATTAGTGTAATTAACAATCATTACATTAGAAAACACTAGTTCTTAGTGTTTGACCTTGACCTGCTGCTATCCCACTGGCAGGATATTAATAACCTAATTCTGTCAAATTCAATTAAAGTAATCATATCTAATCTTTTATATTATCAACCATATGATCCATAATTCAAATTTTGGTAAAGAAACATGATACACAAAATAATAATTGAGGGTTGCCACTAATTAGAGGAAATTAGCATTAGTAATATTTAAATGTAAACCATCATCTCTACTTCGTGCTTGATTGATGTAATTCCCTATGATACGTTAGTATTTTAAGGGAATCAGATTGGAGTTGGTTGCCATGGAGAAAACACATCTACTAATATTTCAATTTAAACAATCATCTCTATTTTAGTAATATCTCTATTCAAATAATTCATCAGATTGATTTCATATTCTTCATTCTTGATTAATGTAATTTGTTATGACATATTAGTACAGTAGGACTAGGAAATCCATTTGTAGCTGTTTTCCACTAAGTAGGAGAAAATACAACTAGTAATATTTCAATGAAAATCATCATCTCTACTTCATGCTTGACTAACGCAATTCATTATGATATATTATTAGTGCGGTAGGACTAGGAGGTCCACTTGTAGTTGTTTGCCAAAATAGGAGAAATTTTGGTTCGCGGAAAATAACGTTTCCTTCTGGAAAAGTATTTTCCATGAAAAACGTTTTCATTTTCAACCAAGATATGATAGATTGTTGTGGTAGAAGAATCCATTTGGAGTTGTCTCCCACCAACTAGGATATGAGAAAATGACCATTGCTAAAATTCCACTTATTAAAACCATCATCTGTAATTCATTCTTGATTAGTATAATTAATTGACTGTCATAAATTAAGTGTCTTATTTGGAAATTAGGTAACCTGTACTAGATATTTTTAGTTAAATAAAATTTTTACTTGAATAGCACTTCTATAAAAATTGTATCTAATCAACACTGTTACAAATGCTACAATTAGACCAAGTAAGCTGTGATTCTTCCAATGATATAATTTACATGTCAATTTATTTTAATGAGTGTGATTACTTGTTCTTTATTGTTATTACTATTTTGGTGGTATTGATTACATAAACGTGTGTGCAATACTAGGTGATTTTTGTTTCTCAATGCAATTTGATCCTTGCAACTTCTAGACTTCGAATTCTGGGCTTCCTATCATAGTTGGTTACATTTTGCTGACTATGGAAAAAAATGTCTTTTCCTTTTTTTTTTTACTAAATGCATACAAATGTATGCATATTTAGCTTTTTGTTTGGCTGTTTCATCACAAATAAAATATCTTTTTTGTTAGTTGCAATTTTTGAAACATTGATCAATCAATTAAAGGAAAATAATTGATACATACTTAATTCAATATTTTTTTTATATTTGTTTTATTTAACTACTAAAATATAATATAAGTATAATCTAATTTAATTGATTCTTACATCTTGTATATATAACTCTATATATTTAAATTTATTTATTTTTAATTTTACACTAACAAACAATAAATTTTTAATAAATGTATTATGTAATATATTAAATTAAAGTACATACCTATCAATCTCCTTAATTAAGAACCAAAAAAGAAACTCTATTTATTTTGGAGATATTGGACGAAACCAATTAACCATGAAATAATTGTTCATTCAAGGAAAAAATCAATCAACAAATCAAGTTCTTTTCACTTTGAAATCGGGTTCCTTTCACTTTGAAATCGAGTTCTTTTCACTTTGAAAAATGAGAGATGTCTTCTCGTTATAAGCTAACGTCTTAAATATCATAACGATAGAAAATTATAACTTAAATTATGAAAATATAAAAATTAACTATTACTATCAATTTAAATTTAGCATTTTGAGCCCGAAAAGTAATTTGAGAATGACCAGTTTTGGCCAAGGAAGTTTCACAGGCTGTCTTAATTTCGTTTTGGTTAAATACCCAGTTTGGTCTCTCAACTTTTATTTTCAAACCAAATCTATCCTCAAGCTTAAGAAAATATCAAAAGTATCTTTAAACTTCAATTTTTTTACCAATTTAGTCCTTCCCACATTTATGTGCTTATGAGGCACGTTAAGTCTAGGAGAAAAATCCCATTTTTTATTATAATTTAAATTGAATAGCTGATATGGAAACTAAACTTCAAAACTAACGCTGATTTAGAAAAAAATAAAGATTCCTGCAACATAAGAGATCTCCTTAAATTAGTAAAAAGATAAATTTTAAAAAATAAAAAGACTAATATACCCTAACTTCTTCTTCATCCGCTACTTTCTTCCCCATCTCTCATTGTTGACTCAGATGCATAAAGGCACCGATCAGGCTCCTCTTCCACCACCGATCAGCCTCTTCCTCTTCTCCTCCACCACCCTTCTTAATAACCTCTTTTCGATCCCTTCAATGTGGGTTTTCAGGCCTTCTAGGTTCTCAATCGTGAGAACCCATTCGAGATTAACAGAGAATCCATGCGTCTTTTCTAGCAATTTTTTGCTCCATTTTGCTCCAATCTGCTTCTCAGCATTTGATTTGATCCATATCCCCCACAAAATTCTCGTTGAGAACTTAACTGAATCAACTGGAGATAAGAAATGACGGCCTACAAAGCAGACGAAAAAAAATTAAAAAAGTTTTCTTATGTGTGTAGAGGACATGCTTGCCATTATCACTGTTCTTATCAGGATGCAGCTCACCAACAAAGCCTGCAACATTAGCAAGTTCAATCATTTAGAAGCAAGATATCAAAATAAATGTGGACCAAAAAAACTGCTTATACAGTATGTCAAATCATACCCCAGGCAGATCATCTGAGCTTTCAGCATGGCAGTGGCCAGGAAACATGACATAAGCAAAAAACAAGGAAAGATAAAGAATAAGGGCTTTGAGAAAGCTAGCCATATAGCCAACCTAAAACAACAATCATTTAAATTCTGCAGCACACAAGATGCAGAGGAATCTAGACATAACTACAAAGATTTCAAACCAAGAGCTGTTCTCTATTGCATCTTTGAACTGCTTAACCTTGGCATCATCTAGTTCCAGCTGACAAATGACACTTTTATCCACATTCTCTGGGGAAAGAAAAGGGAAGGGCAAACTCATGAAACCACAGTTATTAATGAACCATGATATATAATATATTTAAGAATATAATCAAGTGAAATACTTCGGAATTTTATGCCGATCTGGCTATCAATAAGTTCATTTCCACCAAGGACTTCACCAAGACCACCCCATTTATGAGCAGGATTCCCTGATGGATGGCAAAAGGGGAGGCTGCAGTAGTTATATGTTTCTTGTGGATTATTGTAAGGGCCAACCTTATTTACCAAAGCGTAACTGACTCATCTGGTTGGTACTGCAAAAGAAAACAAAAAGGGCATCAGTGAAAAGAAATGCATACATAAACATCTAATTATGTTGGCACAACTGACATAGAATAGGAAAAGCAACATAGAAGTATTAAAAAAATCCCTCGCAGATTCAGTGCTACGTACTCCAAACAAGAAAAGCAAAAGTTTGATACTTTCCAGAAAAGTATTAAGTTATATTTTGCATTAAGAGAAATCAAGCTAAGAAATCTACAATAAATATGAAGACTATTGAGCTTATTAGATTTAGATGGAAAGGATTTGAATTGGAATTTCAACATTATTTTCTGTTTTTGTGCATCTTGGCTTGTAATCAAGATGCAATAACATCTAGTATCTTTTTTAAGTAAATCTCTCTTTTGACAGCTGGATAGTTCGTTTTTACAGTTCTACCATGCTCTAAGCCTTCTTTTAGTAATTCTTCGCAGCATATGACATATAATCAGCCTAAACAGATTCTTCTAGAAATGAGCGTTAAAATTGGTGAAACAATACAACACAATATGCCATCAAATGGTAAAAGCTCTAAAGAACTTGTTTTTCTAAATGCCAGAACTAAAAGCCAACAATGCTTAACAATCTAACTTGCGCCGGTGGTAACTATCCCGTCCTTAGTAACTGTAATACATACATCATCACTGTATAAAAATGGCACATGCTAGGTGCTTATGCAAATGTAGATACCACACATAATACATTCACACTTTTTTGGACAATTGAGATGAATTTAGTTGTATCTGTGAAATGCTAAAAGAAAGAAAATCCACCAAGAGATTAAGTCCTAAATCTATCATATGTTTGTACTCAAATGTACTAAAAAGAAAACCTTCTAAAATAACAAGTTTGCATCAGTCGAAAAGGAAAACAAGCATCTAGATGAAGGGAAAGAAAAAAAAAAAAAAACAAAAATACAGAGATCAAACTCAAATCCAGCTGCAAATGACACGCAAACAATAAGATCTACAACGCCACTGTTAGGGTTGGGGTTCAGTGCGAAGGAGAGTGATAGAGTACCTTATGATCTGACTCGGAAGCTAGCGCGGAAGAGAGAAGGATGAAAATGGAGGCGAAGAGAGAGAAGAATTGGACAGAGAATCGCATGGCGGTGGGCGGCCGTGGTCGGATCTGAAAGAAACGTGACTGTGTCGTCTCTCCTTTCCTCTTTAACGCTTACTGAGATTTGGAATTTCGTCGTTTTCAAAAAAGGGAGGGAAGAGAGAGCTGCTGGTAATCTAATTGCTACATGCAGCAGCAGCAGCAGCAGCAGCCGCCTCAGCAGCCTGGTTCTAGATTTTGCAACTACGTCAGCGCGCTCTTGAATAATCCCGTGTCCTCCGGAAAATGACGACGACGACGACGATGATTTTAAGTGGCACTTTTATGGTCCATCTGCCCAGCCCAAGAAAGTGGGCTCATGGCATGGGCCACTTGAAATTCCTCATAGAAAGCCTCATCGATCTAACTTTGACGGACTGGAAAGAAAGTCAGCTATTTGCAGTGGGTTTTTTTGCATTTCGAAAACAGGTATTAGGATTCAGCAGTTGATGGCATTAATAAGAATTTAATTAAATTAAAAATTTTGATTTGGAGTTAAATTTTTATATTTTCAAATAATTAATTCTTTGATGTATAAAGAAAACTAATACTTATAAACAATAGGTATTATCAATCATTAATTAGATTATTATTTATTAATTATATCTAAACATTTAATTAAACACCTTAACAATGTTTTAACAAATCACTATATAAGTTTAATTTGATAACATTGATATGTAACTATAATTATAAGTTTTTTATCTTTCAATACTCTAAAAATATATAAAATATATTTTATATATTTAAAATTTATTTTAATTAATATTTTATATCCTTTTAAAGTAATAAAAAAATATAGAAATTAAAAAATAAAGCTCCGAAAAGTATTGTGACGATGAAGCCATAGTCTATATAACCATCGAAAAATTTGAAATGCTTTTCCGTAAACCTAAGAGCTAATTAAGGATGATCACAAAACCATTACGCCAAGTCGCCAACCTTCTTAGCGGCTTGAACTCGCTGATGGCTATTGAAGGATGGGGTGTTTTGTTTTCACTTTTTCAAAATAGTTATTACTTGTGGGCTTTAATTAAATAAATTAAATATTTATTATTAATTATCAACTATTTAAAAAAATATAATCAAACAGCCTAGGAAACGGGATGGAAGCATTATCATTCCATCGTCCGTAGACGACTTGAGTCACTTGACGTACTGTTTTGTTCATTACTCCATTACATTTCCTAATGAGATAGAACATTATCAAAGATTGCGAGTCACGTAAACGCGCAGGACATGATTTACAATTTTTATACGTTATTATATAAATAATATAAATTTATTTATATATGTAATGTTTGGATTTTAGTATGCTAAAAAATGTTAATTATTAAAACAATATGTGACATCGTATGAAAATGTTCCGCATAAGTTACCCTGTTAACCCAGCTACTACTCAAACCAACTTCTTCGTTTGCCTTAAAGCTTCGTTTGGAACACCCTTTGGTGTGTGTTTGTTTTTAGTTTCTATATTTTTTTATTATTTTAAATATATATATAAAATATTAATTAAAATTAAAATTAAATATTTTAAATATATTTTATATTTTTTTAAATGTTAAAAAAAAAAACTTATAACTGCGTTTAAATTGCATCAAACACTACAATTTATGAAAAATGTTACGACTTTTCACATGTTAATTTTTTGCTAATTTCATTATAAATCTTAGAAGCACCAAATTGATGTTTTTACAAAAAATTTTAATGAAATTAGCACATTATTTTTATTTTTATTTTTATTTAAAAAAATAACACTTCTACAACAATTTCTTCTTAATAAAACTTCTATTAAATGTTCCAACCACACCAATCGGTACTTAATCGTCGTTCATCAGGAATAGGAATAGGGTATAATTGGTTCCCCATAAAAAACCCAAGGTTCAGATTCAAATTATCTAAAAAATCAAGACCCTTCATCATAAGTTGGGTAAATCCCCCTCGCGCAGAATCCCTTCCTACAAAGATACAGAGTTAGACATTCCTTCTATTTTCTCAGTCATTCATTTACGTTTGGATTTGTGTTTTCATGAAAAAAAGAAAAGAAAAAAAGAGACACTTATTCCTATTAAATTCTGAATTCTCCGATTCTTTGCTTACCTTCAAACCTCTCCAAACTCGCCACCGCCAATTGCGTACAAGTTTTGTGGTGTGAGTTGAGCAGGAAGAGCATGAATGCGAGCGAAATTTTGAGGGATTTCGGAGGTTTGATTCTGTGAATTTCTTTAGGTTAGGTTTCTTCAATTTTTATTTATTGAATTCGTACAAGATGGAGAAGTACGAGTTGGTGAAGGACATAGGATCGGGAAATTTTGGGGTGGCGAGGCTGATGCGAAACAGAGAAACCAAAGAACTCGTCGCCATGAAGTACATTGAGCGCGGCCATAAGGTCCGTACATGTTTTTCTTCTTTTGTGTTTATCATTAAGTTTTAAGTTTTTAATCTATAATTCCTTTAAAAGACTGGGAAATTTTGTTATGCATCATGCATGTATAATTAGTCGTAAAAATTTATTTATTTATTTATTTTCAAATTTTTGTTTGATTTTGGTGACAGATTGATGAGAATGTGGCAAGAGAGATCATAAACCATAGATCACTGTGTCATCCGAATATAATTCGGTTCAAGGAGGTTGATTTTGTTTGAAATAAATTTAGTTGGGCTTGCACATTTGGAAGAATTCCTTACTTACGTGAATTTTATTTTATTTTATTTTATTTTAAATTTTGATGTTGCAGGTGGTTTTGACTCCTACTCATCTGGCCATTGTGATGGAGTATGCTGCTGGAGGCGAGTTATTTCAGCGAATTTGTAATGCTGGGAGATTCAGTGAAGATGAGGTTTGAATTTGATAAGATTTCAAGAACTTTGCTTTCTGTTCTGATTACTAATTATATTTTTTATTTCGGGGGAATGCGTTGCCTTTGTTTTTTCCATTTGGAGAAAGGATAATATTATCTTCATATATTTTTTCTAACAAGTAGAGGTTTATTTTTGTGGTGCATTCTCTTTTCACTTTTGTTAGTTGAGGTAGAAAATTGAGTAACAAGAAGTAGGAAGATTATGTTAATTCAAAATTGGAAATTTCAACCAATAATGGTTCGTTTATTTTCATTCTACTAATATTCTTTCTTTGTTTGTTGTTATATTTTAAATGTTGCAGGCAAGATATTTTTTCCAGCAGCTTATTTCAGGCGTTGGCTACTGTCACACTATGGTAAAGAAAGTTTAATTTAATACTTGTATGTTTTTAGAGTTTAGGATATCCTTTGTTGTATAAATAATATTTCCTTCTTTTTTTGATCTTTTAGCAAATATGCCATAGAGATTTGAAGTTAGAGAATACCCTCTTGGATGGAAGCCCAGCCCCACGTCTGAAAATATGTGATTTTGGATATTCAAAGGTTTGGCTAAATATAGAAATTATAATAGCAAGCA